GGGAGTAGACTCTCCTATAAAGAGGGAAGTGCTTAATTCTAACCCATAGGTCTCTCTCAATTTTTATTACAGTAGGACCATGTTATAAAACTATGTTTTCTTTCATCCAACCTTCAAAAAGTCTGCTGAATGATGCCCAGACTCTTCTCTGTGTAAGAGGAAAGACAGCCTGTGCACTTTCATCTCCTTCTGGAGTTCTTCTAGGAAGTGTCTCTTGCCTCAAACTTCACTGCCTCTGTCTTCTCCTCTTCACCTCATGCTTGATACAGAACCTCTTATTAGGTCATTGCTCAACAGATGCAGATCAGGGAAAAAATCACCTATTTTGTACAATTTTCCCTCTTCTGCTTTTTAGCATGCTTCCTCTGTCCTCCAAGTTCACCTCAAAGTCAGCCTTCTCCAGGATGCCATTCGTGATCAACTCAATTCTCCCAGCTCCCTTCTCTGGCACACAAGACCCATAATGTTTTTTATTAGTTTAGAGATATATCCTGCCTCCACACATATCATAACTCCCTGTTAGCAAGAACAAGGCCTTGTATTGTTTGTCTTCTCAGCACTCAGCACCAAGAGCAGACACTTTGGAGACATAGAATACATAGTCCCTTCATCAAAATCCTCTAACCCATTGCTCACCATTACCCCAGCTCTTCTAGACAGAAGCTTGTCCTATATTCTCTACTTGGGGTTCAGCATTTGTGGATACCTAATTTTCAGGTAAACAGCCCAAAGTCATAGAGACTAAAAATTTTCTAAGAGCAATTTAATCACATGGAATGTTTTACCAAGAGGTGGATTTAATGTAAAACTATCAAAGCTTATTCAGGTATTTTAAGGTGCATAGGCCCTGTTTCCAAGGCCCTGAAACAGAGTCTACCAATTTATTCCCATGGTTGTATGTTTTGATAAAAATTTTCAAAAGTAAGGGATTTTAACTATAATTGTTTTTTTTCCATTTAGACTCTTCTTATCTCTTATCTTCCCTCATGTTGAGAGCTATTAGAGTGATAGTATATTCGTGACATCTGGCTTAAGGAAAATTGCATGGAATAGTGTTTACATGAGATATATTTATGTGGCTTGAAGTTATTTCCACGTATAGTTAAGTGCTTGCTAGCCATCCACATGTAAGAATGACTTGCACAAATACGTCTACCAAGAGCGGTAACTCAACCAGACATTGTGACATGCAGGTACCAGGTCAAGGTTCATATCACCATGTGAGTGTACCCTGCAGTTCCCAATACCAAAAATATGTAAGTCATGGAGAAAAAAGATTTACATTTCAGAAGTCAGTCTGTATAAAATTTTTCCAGTTATCAGACATATAAAAGTTAAATGTAAGATTGGGTTCTTATTGATGTTTAGTCAACCAGAAGTCTTCTCCTCATGGGTGTTCATCTGATAATGCAGCATTAAAGATTATAAATGCACCATGCATTTTTCCATGGGAATCATGCAAAAGATAAACAATTCAAATTCTTATATCTGTAAAGCCAAAAACTGTAATACTACTACAAATAGTAAGTATGCCTGTAACAACTCATATATGAAAGAAATTATAAAATAATTACCCATGGAGTTGAATGATAAACTGAAAAACATATAAGATATTATCAATAAAAATTTAGAAGTTGAAACAATTGCATCAGTCATATTAGAGAAAGACTGGTTTATCTTTCTAATTTCTCTAGAGAAGATGCTATTTCAAAACTGTTGTCATATTAAAAAAGTGATCAAAGAGTATACCACCAAAAAGGTAAGAGAGAGTGGGGGGGGGCAAGAAGGGAAGAGAAGGAAGGAAGGAAGGAAGGGAAGAGAGAAATAAGGGGCTATGGAGGTGTATGGGGAAGTTGATTAGTTAAAATATCATTTCTCTGTTTTTAGTTTGTGGTATTTTTTAACCTTTTAAAATGTGAGTTTTCAACTTGGCGAGACCTCATCTCTACAATAAATCAAAAAATGAGCCGGGCGTAGTAGCGCGCGCCTGTAGTTCCAGCTACTCGGAAGGCTGAAGCAGAAGGATCGCTGGAGCCCAGCAGGTCGAGGCTGCGGTGGCTGGAAGCGGCCACTGCCCTCCAGTCTGGGCAACAGAGTGAGACTCCAACTCAAAAAAAAAAAAGAGTTTTGTTGCGATTTCTTTTTTCCTTCTAAATAAATAAATATCCATTTGCACACCTAATTTAGAACTTTTAATTTTGTTATCCCTTTTCTTTTCCTGTCATTGCTTAACACATCAAAAATTTATTTTGTAGCCGGGCTCAGTGGCTCAGCCTGTAATCTCGCGCCTTTGGGAGGCTGAGGTGAGCGGATTGCCTGAGCCCGCGGGTTCGAGACCCGCCTGGGCAGCGAGACCTCATCTCTACAATAAATCAAAAAATCAGCCAGGCGTGGTAGCGCATGCCTGTAATTCCGGCTACTCGGAAGGCTGAGGCAGAAGGATCGCTGGAGCCCAGCAGGTCACGGCTGCGGTGGCCGGGAGAGGCCACTGCACTCCAGTCTGGGCGACAGAGTGAGACTCCAACTCAAAAAAAAAAAAAAATTTATTTTGTAACATTATTTTATTTCATTATAAAGATGTGGGGTGCAAGTCAGGATTAGGTACATAACTAGTCCATGTGCAGGTGAAGTTTGGGCCTCCAACTGGTCCTCACTTCCCCTGGTTTAGGATCAAGTACCCTTAGTGCTGTTGTGATTCCTTTTCTTAACAGGAATATCTCCCCATATTATATGCATACCAAGCCCTTGAAAACCTGGATCATCCTCTACTATCAAGATATTGAAAGATGTGTATACCAAGTATAAGCAAGTGGTTGGTTTGTGTCTTGCTTCACTACTGCCTTGGCTTTGCCAACAAGTGTGGAGAGTATCTTCTAGATATAGGCAGAGTTTCAGACAGTAGCCCAGAATGAATAAAATGAGAATTCATCCTCAGAAAATTAAAGAAAATATTGAGGTGAAGACACATCGTTAATATAGATGCCTTTCTTTTGTCTCTGCTTTGCCCTCTCCCACTGTGAGGCACTATATTAAGAGCTTTGTGATGCCCCAGGGCAAGGTAACAGGCCTTTCTTTAAGGTGAATGGAAAATTGTCTAATCAATTCAATAAAAGTGGTGCTAACTGTATGTTATTCAAATTCCCTGAGTGCTGATGGATATCGGTCTAGTTTTCCAAGGACAAGGTTTCAATTATAATATGAATATTCCCAAACTGCTCTAGCTCATGAACTACTGAGCTCCGTCTACTATTTGCTGTGTCTGCAAAGGGACTCATGCTCAATTTCTCCCTATTTTCTCATCTTACTAACCTAGAGAAAAAGAACTTCTGAGTGAAAGTGTGGGTACCATTTCATGACCTTCCCTCTCCCTCATGTCCATCAAGTTATCCTTAACAAGTAGATGCTGCAACCTAGGGATGGCATGCAAGTATCTTGTAAACTCATAAAACTTGGAGAAATGTCCCGTTATCTGGGAATAAAACAGTACTGAGCTTACATCTTACACTTCAGTAATGTATAAGCTATTTTAGTTTTCAAGATCTTTCCCAAATCTTTAATTATGTTTACATTAACCTCAAAAAGGAAAAATTTGGACTCTGAGAAACCATGATCCCAAACAAGTAACTGAAGTCAGAAAGTGCCATGTATTTGCCGGCGTCCAATAAATCCAGACATCTAGCTAAATTTCAGATAATTAACATTCTCAGTTTTATATGATTAAGTCAACTAGTTAGAAATAAAAACTTTTGGATGCATTTCAGCAAAATACTGCAGAAGCTTATTCACATTATCTCATATAACAGGAACCTAACATGACCTTATTTCAAACATTTCCCTTTCTCCAGTTCTGGCTGCAGTCAAGATTCTCTTACTTTCGGTTTCTTGACAGCATGTTGCACTTTCTCATCTTCCAGTATTATTCATGTTCTCTGACCCAACAAAAGCCTTTTTATCTTTCAAGAACATATCTCACCTCTTCAAAATTTTTTCTTCAGTTTTCTTTTCCCCAGCTGCATGTCCACAGGAGTTTTCTATCTATGTGATGTGTTTGGGATATAATTACAGTCATAGGTCATTTAACCATAGGGACATGTTCTCAGAAATGTGTCTTTAAACAATTTCATCTTTATGTGAACAGCATGAAGTATACTTACATAAGCCTATGTGGTACAACCTACTACATTCCTCAGGTATATGGTATAGCCGATTGTTCTAGGCTACAAACCTTCATGGTATGCTACGTACTGAATACCGTAGACAGTCATAACATATCGATAATTATTTGTGTATCTCAACATAGAAAATGCACAGTAAAAAAATACAGTATTATAATCTTATGAGACCATTTTCATGTGTTTGGTCCATTATTGACCAAAACATCATTAATCATACAGCATATGATTGTTTAACAATTATTTTATTATTGATCAGAATTATAATGTAATATTTTAGCTATTGTTTTAGACTAGTTTATACAGACATTTATCACAGATGGCCAACAAAGAGGCAAATTATATAACAAGTTTAAATAAATAAAAATGAGCTAAAATGAGTGAAAGAGGAATCCACTAGTTATGCATTATATTAAAAGTGGGTAGAGAAAGGGAGCAGGAAATGAGAGTACAGGAAAGAAGAAAATGGAGATGTATTTTCTACAATTACAGAGGCACATGGCATTAAATGTTATTTTTCCTATTTCATGAGATTTACTAATACCTTAGAAATCTAAAGATCTTGTTGTAACTATCACTTTGGCTCTAATACAAGCTGATGGTTTTTAGTGTATTGGACCATGAAATGAAGAAGGCATTTGCTAGGACCAGTGGGAGACTGAGTGGGGTATTAGAGTTGGGCATAGAAGCCTAAAGTCAAAATCACTGTTTCTATGCCAAACTGTATAAAATATATATGGCTCATGAAACATCTGTTTACTGCTTTCATTCTTATAAAAGGATGGTCAGGTTTTACACCTAAATGACTGTTTTTTCCTTCTTTCCCAGGTCTGCTTTGTGAATCTGGATGTGAACAAGGATGAATGCAGCACAGAGCACCTGCAACAGGTAATGCTTGGCACTCAAACTGTCCAGGAGCGCAAGCTGTACAGGACCTCATCAAAGGGCTATCCAACACGATTCATCTGTACATCGTGTTCATTTTGTAAAGGACTCTTTAATTAGATGATTTAATCACAGCCCATTACCCTGATCCTTTTCCTACCATTTTCCCATGCAGTTTGCCTGTCTTACATGTGTGAAGCTTGCTTTCCCATGCAGGCAGAACTGTCCAAGAAGGCACACTTTCTCTTGCCCATCAGAGCCTTAAAGTGGCTTCTTCTACTCTCTTCTTCTTCCACTCTCATAGATCCTTTCCAAATGACTTTTCCAGGATTTTTCCAAAAGCTACTAGTGCAACCCAGGGCTTGCTTCCCTCTGTCTCTCAGATTTGCTTCTTCCAGCTGCTTTCACCAAATGTTTTATCTTTACCCTTGGCTACCTTGTTTACTCTCATCTGGTGCTTGCACTTTCTGCATCCTGTCACAACAATATTTCCCAAGTGTATCCAAGGTTGTAAGGACCTTGGCGTAAGTCCTTGACAACATGAAAGGATGTAAAGATCTACTCAGTCCTCAGGAACCAGAACCCCACCTATACACTGAAAGGATTAAGTGGTATGATAAGCTTGTCATTCTAGGCCCAAGGTTGATGGTGGTTTGAGTTCTTTTGGTATAATACTGTTTATTGTATCACAGCACACCATTTGCAACTTAATTATCTCAAAACAATAGACCTGAAATTACCCAATTACACCTATATTGACAATGCTACACCCGGAGCTTCTCAAACCTAGTTGCCCACAGAGATTATCCATTACAAATTTTCACCAAGCTCCAAATATTACCATCTGTGTAGTACTTACTGAGGGATTTTCAATGGAAATTGTACACATGATTTTGATTGATAGAATTATGGTGTAGTCCACTGATAAATGATTAGGGAGGACCAAACCAGGTTGCATCTAGAAATAGTGTGTTTGAAGAGCTTATGTTAGTGATTTGAGACCATCTTCTACTATGACTAAAGTAGACACTTTGGCACTGATTTAACTACATAAATTTGCAAGTTACTAATCTTCTCTGGGCCTTAGGTCACTTATGTGTAAAATGAAAATAATAATGATACCTAATTTATATAGGGTTGTTGTGAGGATTAAATGTAGCAATATTTAACATATGTACACTCCTTAACATAGTGCTTAGTACAAGAGTAAAATCAATGTTAGTGATAATTTTATTATGAATTATTATTTACTTTATTAGAACAGAAGATTTTTTAGAAAAACTTCTTTTATTCAAGATCTTAAAAGGGAACAATTTTCCAAACTCTTGTTTATATCTATGGTGTGATAGTAATTACTAAATATTTACTTTATACAATTTAAAACCTAAGGGTTTTTACAGCTTAAGTTTTCTATTCCAATTTAAATTCTTATGGTTCAATTTTACAAGATTTCTTCTAGTAATAATAGATTAGGCAATCTGTAGTATAAGCAGTTATAAGTAAATTATTTTTGCAAGTAAAGTAGTTTGTGAGTGGGATTTTGGAAGTGAAAAGAAATCATCTAAGCTAATAAAGATGCTTGCTTTACAGAAATTGGTCAACGTTTCACCAGATCTTCCAAAACTTATCAGCTCTATGAACGTCCAACAGCCAAAAGAAAATGAAATTGTCCTCTTAAGTGGGTTAGCATCTGGAAATCTCCAGGCAGATTTTGAAGTTTCACAGGTAAGAAATATAAGGTCTTGATAAGACTGTCACTTGAGATATGAGAGGGAACCTCAAAAAAAAACAAAACAAAACAGAATTAGCTTCTGGAGGGTTGGCCCCTTCTACTCTCAGAATTTGTTCCTCCAGATCAAATGGTTCAAGAAAGTTTATGAAGTTTTGAGAAGGTTGCAAGATAATTTGCAGAAGAAATGTCCCAAGATGTGGCAAACAGGTGACTAGTTCTCCCACCATGACCATGCACCTGCCCACACTGTGCTGAGTGTTCAGCAGTTTTTGACCAAAAACAGCATGACCCTTGTGCCCCACCTCCCTATTCACCTGATCTTGCCCCAAGCGACTTTTTGTTGTTTCTGTGAATGAAAACAAACAAACAAAAAAACCTCAAAGGGGAACATTTTGCCAGTGTGGAAAAGGAAAAACATAAAACAGCAGAAACACTAAAAGGCATCAAAATTAACAAGTTTAAATACAGCTTTAAGCATTGGAAAAAGCATCTCTATAAGTAGACTGCATCAAACAAAGAGTATTTTAAAGGTGACTGAAGTTTAAACATGTAAGAATAAAATACACAATTTTTTATAAATAAATCCTGGGGTTTTTTGTCTGTCCCCTCCCCGTAAGTTATCCATAGTTAGCACAGATCAGTATGAATACAAATAGATGCTTCTGTAGCATAAGAATCAACAACGTTTTCATTTTTGGAAATAGTCTTCATTTGATAAAGCTTCCTTACATCAACTTTTAATTTCTATTATCTTCTCAGATTCATCTTGTTAAGTTGCACATGAACTAGAGCAGACACTTTAGACATTAGTTATGTAGCCTAGTTTTCTACAAATCTACTGGATAACCAAAAACAGAATTGTCTTCTTTATTAGGAAAAGTACTAAAATTCTAATTCATGTCATGAGATCCCAGAATTTCACAATATCATCTTTCCAGAGGTTATTTATTTCTTAGGAGTTACCAAACTAGCCAAGCTAGTAAATACAGAACTGCCCCCCTAAAGATGGAAAAAAGAGTTTCCTGGTCCCCAAAAATAAAATTTTCAAGGAAAAAAAACAACAGGAACTGAAATCTTACTATTATCATTCATTGTATTCATGTTCATTCCTATTATATAAATCACTATAACATTATTTGAAGAAATGTAGGTAAAGTTGTTTAACCAATCTACAAGAAAAATACACATACAATATGTTATAATTGCATATAACAGCTCCAGACTAAAATTATGAGCATTTGTTTTTTACCAAATTATTTTTCCTTGGGTTTTAATTTTGCTGTCAATTTTTAAAATCTTCTTTTATCCTTCAATCCCTCAAAATCTTGAAAAGCCCAGAAGGCTATTCACTATTTCATGCTCTACACTGGATGCTTCATGAAGATCTGCACTTGGCCCATTACAACTCACTAATCAAGTCTGCTTTTCCTTAGTGAGAAGCCTAGGTTTCTGGAAAAAAGCATAGAAAATGGTTCTATGAGCCCTCAATATAAAGCAAAACCATGATAACCAGAAATAATATTCAAATCCAAGTTTTAAGAGTATTTCTGCACCAGGTTTGCATTTCCTCTGCTGTTACTTCCTAGCATTGAGCTCTTATCACATCAGTTAAAATCTAAGGTGGTACTCATCCATATAACAAATGAAACTTTAGTTAGAGCAGCCCATGTAGAAAACCAACTCCTGGAAGCCAAAACCTTTGCTCTTTTCTTACCAAATCAAGACGGAGGACAAGCAGTATTCCCTGGTTCTTGGCCTGAACCCATAAATGCACACTAATGTTAGTATTTTCATTAATAAAGCAAAAAATACACTGTCTATAATGACTTGAATCTTGTTACCAGAGAAGCAACAAAACAGAATAGACATTTGAATTTGAAGGCAAAGGACCTGGCTCTGAGCCTTGGTTTGACTATCTATGATATCAGGATAATAATGATTTCTATTTTACAAGATTACTTTGAGAAATGAAATAAAATAGGTAAAAAGCACTTCATTTAAAATAAACTTTAGTTCTTATTGCCAAAAAAAAAAAAGGAGGGAGGGTAAATATTTTAAGAAACTCAACATTTTCCAAAAAAAAAAAAAGTATTATAACTATATTTTCATTCTGAAAATTCTGTTTCAGAGAAAATGCTTCAACTCCAAATTTCAAGACACATAATAATTGTTTTAAAACAATGTAATAAATCAATTAATTAACTTGGAGGCTTTATTTCTAGATAACCAGATCTCCCTGACTTTGTAGCTACTAACAAGGCTTGTGTACTATAAATTTTACATGAATCCTTAGTAATTTTTGTTTTGACAGCAAATTATACGTTATGTCATTGAAATACAGTGGAGAGTGGAGACTTTATTCCCATATTCTTTGTATCATTAACAGATTTTTTTAAAGTGTACCTGCTTTATAAAACATTTTTCCTAGCTTTTGGCAAGTACAGGTTATTATTGGGAAACCCCAGCTTTCCTTCAATATCTCTATGAAAATTCTTAATGACATTAATTGGACCAGACCTTGAATTAAACTTGCTAGACTCTTATTAATTCCAGTTAGGCTCCTTAATTAAACATGACAGAAAATTGGCTTAAGCACAAAAAAGAATGCATTGTCTAATATAACTAAAATAATCCAGTGAATAATTAGATACAGGAACTTGTGGCCACCTTTCTGTTTTCTGTCCATTGGCCCCATTATCAGACAAGCTCTTCCCAAAAGAAGGCAATATCCTACTAGGTTCAAGTTGAGAAAGGAAGAGTGACTGTCCTTTCCAGGTGGCTCCCAGCAAAAGTCTTACTGTGTCTTATTTGCTCTCATATGTCACATGCTCATTTCTGAACCAATCACTGTGGCCTCAGGAATGCCTTATTCAGACTGGTCAGGCCTGAGTCACATGATCACCTGTGGCATTGGAGGTCAATCACTTGGACTGTGAGTGAGGCCAAAAATGGTGCCCCAAAGAGTATGAGAACCAGAGGACAAATGAACCTGGATCACAAAAGCAGCACAGACATTCATTGGGATCAGGGAGAATTAAATTGCCAAGGACTGTTAAAGATCATCAAAAACATGTCATCAGGACATGTTCTGCATATCTTTTTGTCTAAGAGTTATCAAGAATTGTCTCTGAACTAGGGTCCCCATCACTTCCTATGTGTCACTTCACCCATCTGCAATCTCCCAGAGCCCCTAAATCATTTTGTTGGCACCACAACCTATATGTTTTAATAGAACAGCAAGATAGGGGCAGCACTTCCATGCTGAACCCCATCTTAGCCAACCATAGTCAGTACCTACGTATTGAGGGATATTCTCAGTTTGGCTGCTTTACCTCGCTAAAGTCAGTTACCTGTTAATCCATAAATAAGAATGGAGAGATTGGCGGACACAACTTGAACTGGGTGAATCAGTAAAGTTTGAATCAGTCCCAAAGACATAGCTAGCATTCTCACAGACAACATGAGGAAGGAAATAAAGAAGAAGCCACTTGACACCTTTAACCTAGGAAATGATAGTACTGAAAAAGGTTTTTGCAATCAGTTTTAAATTTTCAGTAGTCCAAATAAGCCACTTCTTCACTCTCTTAACTTTAATTTCCTATTCTATAAAACAGAGATGATTTTTAAAACTACCTTTCCCCATTCTTAGAGATGGCTCTCTGCAGCCTTGACCTTCTGGAATCAGATGATCCTCCTGTCTCAGCCTCCCAAGTAGCTGGGACTACATGCACACAACACTGCGTCCAGTTATTTATTTTTTTTTTTTTGTAGTCTGTTGCCCGGCTGGTCTCAAACTCCTGAGCTCAAGCAATCCTCCAGTCTTAGCTTCTCAAAGTGCTAGGATTATAGGCCACTGCACCAAATCTATTGCTACGTTATTTTATAATTAAATAGTACAATTGGCAAATGTAAGAAAATGTTTGTCACATCCCTCATTTGTTAGTGTGTTCATTAACTCAACAAAAACTTTTTATGTATCTACTAAGTGCAAAGCTCTTATCTAAGTGCTGGGGAAAGAGTAGTAAACAAGTTGGGTACTTGCTTTCATGGCACTAACTTAGAGTCTAGTATTCTTTTAGTCCTTATTTCCTATGGGTATTATTAAATATGTATAAAGACATACCCTACCATCCATGCACATATGTCTCAAAAAAAAAAACCAATGAATAAATACTAGTGAGCAGCAAATGAGGATGTGACTGACTTACCTTCCCCTTCCTCGAGCCATCCTTTGTAGAGCCTTGGGATAGACTCTAAAAAACCTTAAAGACCATTATTACAAAAAGTCCATTGCAACAGCCAATAGTTTAATAAAATACAAGTAAAATCAATTATTTTCCTACAGAAGAAGTTTTTCTGAGATGTCTATTATGTACAATAAGATCTATTCTTATGGCTTCATTCTATGAAATGAAGACATGATTTTACTGAGCATGCATGAGTTTGAGGAGACCCACATGTAGCTACTCACCCTTTCAAAGAATACGTCATCTGTGGAAATTAGATCTTTGTTATTTTAACCAGGAGGCCATGAAGAGCATTGGAAAGAATGTAGGAATTGGAGTTCAACAAACCTGGAATGCAGTGCTGGCTCTTCCACTTTACGCTTGTGTGACCTTGAAAAGATGAGCCACCCCTTCTGTACATGTTTTCTCACCTGTGAAGGATCAGTAGCATCACCAGCTTCATAAAAATATCATTCACTTTGGGGGTAAAAGTTATGCAAAGCGCCAAATAAACTATGATAAAATGACATGATAATAACTGTCATTATCTTAGAGACTATATTGTTTTACCCTCATTTAGTCAAAATTCTTGGAATGTTTATTTTCATTCAGGAAGATAGTTAAGAAAATACACCTTTTTTCTAAGAATACCATAACTGTGCAACTCTGCACATTAAATAAAATCCTTTATCTAAATCTATCTTAAATTATTGTTTAATTTTTCATATTATATCTCTTTGGCACTTGCCATATTTCACCTAATGTTATATGTATTTAATTTGGTGATATGAAGGGTCAATAGGGAACTACTTTGACCTACATATATGGCAATCACATGTGGTACAACTGTATAGTTACCTTTATTTATGGCAAACCCACTGGTAGTATATATGCCTTGCCCCCAAGGGCAATTGCCTGACTCATGTTTGCACTTCCCTATGTGCCTTGAATATAATAGGCACTCAGAAGATATCTGGTCAGTATCAGTTTAGGGTATTATGTCTGATTCAGTGGAAAGAAAGTTAATCAAGCCAACTACTAGTTACTCTATAGCAGCAGTTTCTCATCATGTGGGGGATCACAGACCCTTTGTGAAGTCCATGAAAACTATAGATCATAGGGCTTCTCAAATGTTAATGCATGTAGGAATCTTCAAGACATTCCCTGAAAATGCCAATTCTGATTTAGTAGACCTGGATTGAGGTCTGAGATTACATATTTCTTATAAGCAAGTGCCTGGGTGATACTGAGGTTGCTGGTCCAAACACACACTTTAAAAAACAAACTTATGGCCAGGCACGGTGGTTCACGTCTGTAATCCCAGCACTTTGGAAGACTGAGGCAGGAGTATTACTTGAGCCTAGGAGTTTGAGACCTTGTCTCTACAGAAAAGAAAAAAAAAATCAAAAAGTTAGCTGGGCATGGTAGTGCATGCTTGTAATCCAAGCTACTTGAGAAGCTGAGGCAGAATAATCACCTGAGCCTAGAAGGTTAAGGCTACAGTGAGCTGTGATCATGCCACTGCACTTCAGCCTGGATGACAGAAACCCTGTCTCAAAAAAACAAACAAAAAAATCAGAGCCACAAAGCAACTTCCTTGAAAAACACACTTAATCACATATGAATTCTTTTTCCAAGCCTCCTGGGGATTGCAGAACCCTTTGAAGAAAGATTGAAAATTTTATAATCACCCCTTCTAGAATTATTGAAAAATTTTATTACTATTCTAATAATAACATAGTGAAAATGTGTAGTAGAGAATGGGAATATGGTCTGTAACCCTAAAAGTGAACAGAATTAACATGTCTAACTGTAACAACATTCAATAACTTGGGCCTCTTTATCACTGCTCTTCTCATATGTCAGACTTTTAGAGGTTATTAGTTCAGTGGATTTCTTTAAATGTCATATTGGCTGCTTCTTCAGATGAGCAATACAAATTATAAAATAACTGTAACTGATAGAACACTTACTACATATCTGAAGTACTCGTAGAAGTTTTACTGAATATCATAAAAGCAAAGAAAGAAACCTGTCAGAAACTGAAACTCAACTGAATCCAAGGGAGATCACCCAGACAGCTTTAATATTCCCCTCGGTGTGACCAAACTTTACACAGGCTTCTTCCTGACTCTAGGTCATGATCTCCCTTTTCTTAGAGCACTTGATCTAGAAAATTTCATAATTGTAAATTTATTCTCTGCCCCTTTGAGATGTAAATCTTTTTTGAAACTTCTTGCCAGCTTTATGCCCAGGGATGTCTTTCTCTGGACCTGGGAGCTGTCTCTTTGAAATGCAGTCTTCAAGGAAGATAGGACCCCTAGCCTCCCAATCTCCATAGCAGAGTAGGAGCCTGACTTGTGTGTGTATCTTGCTCCAGGTTGTAAAACTACCTCCTGTCATGAAGACACACAAAAAAAGTTTCCTGTTCCTTTGAGTAAAGTCAATTAGCAAGCACAGATGACCTAAGATCTCCTCTCTCATTAACAACCTTATTGCCTTTTGTTTCGGTGAACTTGTGGTCCAACTCAGTTCTGGCCTCTCTCCCCTATTTTAATAGCTTTTAATAAAATCTCCTTTGCCTGTTTAACTTTTCCCACTTCAATTTTTGCTTTGATCAGAAAAAACTAAAATATATGAGACAACTAGTCTGCTTTTTCCCTAAGTCAAACTTTCTCCTAGGTACCCTGTGTTCCCAAATATCATTTGAATTTTTTTTTCAAGCAGTCCATCAATATAAGCCCAGAAGATATTTCAAATATTTTAAAGGTCTTCACTCCTTCTTACAGGAGAGATTAGGGCAATAGGTTTTTATTTGTCCTTTTAAATATTTTTTTCTTTCCACTTGTAGTGCCCCTGGCTACCAGATATCTGTCTGGTACAATGTGCAAGAGGGAACAGACCAAACAGTACCAATTGCATCATCTTTGAAATCAACAAATTTTTGATTGGTCTGGAGCTGGTGCAGGAGCGGCAGCTGCACCTGAACACAAACATCTTGAAATTGGAGGATGACACAAACTGTTCCTTATCTTCAATTGAGGAAGACTTTCTCACCGCTTCTGAGCACTTGGAGGAAAGTGAGGTGGACGAATATAGGAACGGTGAGAACTTTCCAATAAAACAAATGTACACTCTGAAATTAGTCACCATATAAAATGTTCCGAAAAGTTTCAGGCCACGTCAGTTTGGCTGACACATCACAATCTCTAACTGAATTTTAAGGACGGAAGGAAGATAAGACAATCCCAGTGAAGATGCTGACAAATGCACTTAGCAGATGCATTCATTAGTTGTGGGATGGATCTAGACTCCCAAAAAGATGCCTTAGGGATGCTAAAGGAAATTTGTGTGCTTTAAAGGAAAATCCTTCAGCCTGTCAAGAAATGGAGGCTATCACCACCAGGAAAAAAGTTAACTTCCCTAAGACTTCCATAAAAGCCATATAATAGCTGGAGCCAAGTCACACTGGCCTGGATTTGAATCACAGCATTGCCTCTTTGAAGCTGTGAGACCTGGAACCAGTCATCTAATTTTCCTGAGCCCCGGTTTTCTTACTGTAATTTGGGAATACATTAGTCCCTGCAGCGAATTATTTTTTTGGAGACAGAAGGAGATAAGCCTGGAAAGTGCTTAGCACTCATTTATTCAGCTCTTTCTGTTGACTCATTTATAGAGCTCAGTAAACAATGGGTTCCTTCCCACTCCCACCCCCACCCCGTTTAGTCAGAGAAAGGGATACTCCAGACTTTGTTGTTGCCACTTTCCCTGGGCAAGTTCAATGCAAACTTTAGAGCAAATTTTTGCAACAAATCCCTCTATTGAAGTTGCTTTAAACATCATCCCTCGTCCCTCTATATCCAATGGGAAGCTCTAATTATTTGAATTGCTTTCCCCTGAAGAATGGTGACCATCATTAGCTCCCAAATCCCTTCTCCTATTCTAGCGTTTGTATCCCACATTGAAAGCCATTTTGCTGGGTAAGCATTCCATAGTGAAATTCAAAAGCCTTTTCAGGTTCCCTTCTCTGGAAGAAACATTCAAAATGCTATACTTGAGAAAAAGGGAAAGATAGTTGATGCTTTAAGGTATTTTTAGGAAGTAATGATTACTTTAGATTCACAACAACCTGCTATCAAAAAGTAATAGTAGCTTTCGTGTTCTCTTCACCAGGTTATGAAAATATAAATGTCTCAGCCAGTGTTTTGGAAACTAAAAAAACAAAGGAAACCACCCAGGAGGAATGGAATTACAGCAAAGAAAAGTTTCTTTATGCTTTGGAAGACAAATACATTAGCAAATATCACACACCACTGATTAAAAAAGAACGATCTCTGGAAAACCTGGTAGAGAACACAGGCTTACAGAGTCTGGATCCCTCAGCAAAACCATCACAGTGCAAAGACGAAGCTGTGGGGAATGAGAGACAAGCCACAAATTATTATCATTCTGAAACTTTTAAAGGTCAAGTGGAAAAATCACAGACACTGTATATGCCGAATAATGCTTATTTCTCCACAATGGTTAAAAATAGATCTTCTGCATGTGGCAGTATCACTGAGCAGGGAAGCCACCTAGTCCATGAAGACATAAGAAACTCTCTTCTCCCTGTACAAGATGGAGAAGTCACAACTGGCGAGTATGCTACAAATTTAGCAGAATCTGTGCTACAAGATGCGTTCATTAGATTATCCCAGTCTCAGCCTACATTACTCCAGGAATCTGCGATCAGTGTTTCTGTAGGCAGTTCTCTGCTTCCCAGTTGCTGTTCCACAAAAGATATGGTGGTCCCTCGGTCATGGAATGAGCTCCCCAAAATCGTCATTGTTCAGAGTCCAGATGGCAGTGATATTGCCCCTGAGCCAGGCATCTCCTCCTTGGGCCCTGAGAGGGAAGTCTCTGTTGAAGCCTTAGGCATCCTTTCTGGAGAGGACTCCAGCAGACACCCCCAGAGTGCTCTAGAAGTAGCATTAGCTTGTGCAGCCACTGTGATTGGCACCATTTCCAGTCCACAGGCCACAGAAAGACTCAGAATGGAACAAGAGTCCCTGGCGTCAAACTGTCCACTGGGTGGCAGTGGAGCACTGCAAACTCAAGTATCCCAAGTACTCAAGGAACCCTCCACTGAATACTCCTTTCCATCTGCTTTGTGTGGCATGACTCAGGTGGCGAGTGCTGTTGCTGTCTGTGGCCTGGGTGAAAGGGAAGAGGTGACATACCCAGTGGCTCCGAGTGACCGCTTGCCTGCAGCTGAGCCTTCTGAAGCCATCTTCCCACTTGGTAGTTTAGCAACAGGGAGAAGCATAGAGCTGGGGAAGGAAGCCATTGCAGAGGGATTGCTCAAGGAGGCAGCTCTGATTTTAACAAAGCCTAATACCTACAGCAGCATTGGAGACTTTATGGAATCCATGAACAAGAGAATCATAGAAACTGCTTCAAAGCCCCAGTCCCTGTGCTCAGAAAATGTCCTCAGAAATGAACTGGCACAGACCCTGTCCAATGTTATCCTTAAGCATTCCATTGATGAAGTTCACCAGAAAAATAAAATAATTGACCCCAACGATGGCAGGCATTCGTCTGAAATTCTGGACACCTTAATAGAAAGTACAAATCAACTTCTCTTCAATGTGATATGCTTCACGTTCAAGAAGATGAGTCATATTGTATGGCTTGGTGAATGTCCCCCCGTCCTTTCTAAGGAGACCATCAGATGGCAGGAGGCAGAACTAGGCTGCCAGTCATCTGATCAGACTAATCAAGCATGGATAAAAGCCACTGAAGACTCCAGCAACTATCCACTTAGCAATCTGCACAGCACTAGTCATGTCATCAACGATCTTGTGGATGACATGAATCCAAACCAAGACAGCAAGGGTGGAGTGAAGCCAGGTCTCTTCAAGAACCCCATGTTGCAATTTGAATTATCAGGTAGCCATAGAGTGCCCAATTCTCCTAATGCCAATACATCCCCCAAGGAAATATATTTAAAAGGCATGATGGGAGAGGATACAAAAAGCCCTCATCAGACACTCAGTCACAGTGAGAATGAATGCAGAGCCTCTTCAGAAGCACAAAAGTCACTGACACTCCACCAGCACAGAAGAGGCTCCCAGGATGGTGGGAACAGTATCAACCCAAACACCCAAGAAAAGTACAACTGTGCCACATCTGGAAACAACGAAGTTCCAGTGAGCTTGTCCTTGTTAGGGAATGACTTGCTGCTTCCTGCTCAATCCATGCTACAGGCAAAGCATACAGACATCTATTGCATTTCAGACTTTGCTGAAGAATTAGCAGAGACTGTTGTCTCCATGGCAACTGAAATTGCAGCAATTTGCCTTGACAACTCCAATGGAAAACAACCCTGGTTTTGTGCATGGAAAAGAGGGAGCGAGTTTCTGGTTACACCCAATGTATCCTGCCGATCTTTGAAGAGAAAGAAGGAAAGCCAGGCTAGTGGAGTCACTGTGAGGAAACACAAGCCGCCCCGGCTCAGTGAGATCAAGAGGAAGACAGATGAGCACCCTGAGCTTAAGGAGAAGTTGATGAACAGGGTTGTGGATGAGTCTATGAACCTTGAGGATGTCCCAGATTCTGTCAATATTTTTGCAAATGAGGTGGCAGCCAAGATCATGAATCTGACAGAATTCTCCATGGTCGACGGCGTGTGGCAAGCCCAGAGCCATCCCCGGAATCGGTTACTGAGTGGGGACAGGTGGAACCGGCTGAAGGCCTCCAGCTGTGAGAGCATTCCCGAGGAGGACTCTGAGGCCAGGGCCTATGTCAACAGCCTGGGTTTAATGAGCTCCCTGAGCCAGCCGGTCAGCAGGGCCAGCTCAGTCTCCAAACAGTCAAGCTGCGAGAGCATTACCGATGAGTTTTCCAGGTTCATGGTGAACCAGATGGAAAATGAAGGGAGAGGATTCGAGTTGTTGCTGGATTACTATGCCGGCAAGAATGCCAGTAGCATTCTGAGCTCAGCGATGCAACAGGCGTGCCGGAAAAGTGACCACCTGAGTGTGAGGTCGAGGCAGTCCAGCACAGAGAGCATTACTGAGGAGTTCTATAGGTACATGCTAAGGGACATGGAAAGAGACAGCAAAGACAGCTCCTCCTCCAGGCGAAGCAGCCACGATTGGACGACTGGCTTATTGTCTCCTTCTCTGCGATCCCCAGTGTGTCATAGACAGTCGTCCGTGCCAGACAGCAGGTCCCCATGTGCCAGGCTGACAGTGAATGTGCCTGTCAAAGCCAACTCCTTGGATGGCTTTGCTCAGAACTGCCCACAAGATTTGCTAAGTGTCCAGCCAGTCAGCAGTGCAGCTTCATCTGGGCTCTGCAAATCTGATTCTTGCTTGTACCGGAGAGGTGGGACTGACCACATCACAAACATGCTAATTCATGAAACGTGGGCGAGCTCCATTGAGGCCCTCATGCGCAAGAACAAAATTATCGTGGATGAGGGGGTAGTTGATGCTGAGCAGGTCTCTGGGGGCTCTTCTTTGCAAGCAGAGAAGGGTGCAAACAGATCAACTGTGAGCAGAGTGCAGGGCAGGCCAGCTATGCTTGTCCAGGAAGCTATAGATTACCCGAGGAAAGACTCTGTTACCAAAAGCAAACGCCCCCCACTGTCATCTCCGAGCAAAACTGCACCTCTTACAAACCACAACAGTTTAGATTCTAAAAAGGAAACTTCCTCGTGCCAGGACGCTGTCTCTCTAAACCACACCAGGCGATCACTGTGCTCAAGGGAAGTGCCTTTGATTCAGATTGAAACAGATCATAGAGAAGCCTGTGCTGGAGAAACTGAGCCCATGCTTTCCAAAAGCAACCCCCTAAAGGAAGCAGAAGAGTCTTTAAATGAAGAAAAAGTCCCAGCTGTTGAGCCACGTGGAGATGCCAGCTCCAGCCAAATTCATAGGTGAGTGAATTATGTCTTAGACTAGACAGGGTGCATGTGGCTGGAGTTTGCATCTTGATTGGTATTTATTCTTAATCTTAGACATAAAGGGATTTTATTGATATCAGAACAAAATTTCTGAGACATGCAAAAAAAAAAAAAAAAAAGACTTCCTGCATTAATACGTACTTACCATAGCTGAAAGTAAATTTCTTTTTAAAATCTCCAAAACAAATTCAATTCATCTATATAACAGGAGAAGTATAGTATCATTCCCCCAATTACAATTAATCTCCCATGGATTGCTACCTTTTAAAATCCATTATTGGCTGTTTTCAAGCAAATAATAATAATAATAAATACTGCCAGCTTACTCATTTGAAAATAGTTAAATTTAAATAATTTTTAACATTGGAATTTGACATTAAATATTTTGGCATCATTTTTTCCTCCTCTTATTTTTCTTCTCCATAGAATCTCTTTCAAGATTTTATTTTTTGTTGTGTTCTAAAGATCTTGGCAATGACACCATGTCCCACAAGGGCTGACCCTATAATGTAGGCAATGTAAGTGCAAAGCAACATTCAAGTATTATTATTTCAATGATTCTCTTCCAGAAAATTGTAATGCAGTTGACAGTATATTTTGAATTTGAGGAAGTTAATTATATATCTCAGGCTACTTAAAGAGGTGTCAATTTCTTTTACAACTTACATTTTCTGTAGAAAATTCATAAGATGCTTGAATATGAGACCAATGTGTAATTTATTTGTTTTTGATCTAAAGTTAAAATGCAACAAGAAAAAGCAACAAAATCAAGAATTAAGCTTCTGGCCTTGGAAAACATAAGTTGAAGAAAGAGCCTCTGTAGTCTTTTCAGAGATATATGCCTATTTACAAAGAGCCCGTGAATTTTTTCCATTTTTAATTTTAGTTTCAGGAGGTACATATGCATGTTTGTTACATGGACATATTGTGTAGTGGTGGGGATTGGATTTCGGGTGGCCCATTCTCTAAGGAGCCTGTGATTTTTAAATATTTAGCAGCAGTCAACAAGTTGAACAAAGCCTATAACAAATTTCAGCAACTCTCTAAAGTTTTGATATTTTTTCACCTCTACCAGGGAAGCAGAAGAGACCCATTTTCAGGTACTAATGCTCCCCATTAGAGGGCATCATTACAGGCGTGGTTGTGGTTGTGTGTATTTGGTGCAGTCTAGGTGGATTTGAGTATTTCCTGCTAAGCCACTTAGTGCTGAAATTTTAACATTCCAATTGGATGAAACCCTGGAAGAATGCAATGGAGAGAAAGCACTGAAAACATACGAGCAAAAAAACACAAAACTAAATCAAATGAAGTAGGCTGAGCTGACAAAGAAGAAAAGTTTTTTATATATATATTAGTAATTCTCCAGCTATAAACAGTATTTATCAAAGACTTGGACCCAGGGAGTATGGAGAATTACAAGTTTTTGAAAGTGATCAAAGAATTAAAGAAAGAAATTAGCCAATGTGTAATTCTTTAGAATTATCTTAACTTGAAATACAAGAAAATGGAAAACCTCTATTGTAGCATCCTAGTGCCTGACTTCAAGTTTTCTTAAACACAGAGATCGTAACCCAGCTGAGATTTTTAGTCAAATAAAGTGACCCAGTTAAGGAACATTTATGAACTGGTAGTTCAGCAAGATTCATGGTTGTAGGCTCAGATCAAATAGTGATTGTCGCTGAAGTTAAATAAAATGCACTGCACATTTTTCAATTAAATGTCACTGACATTATATTTAAAATAGGTACAATCCAAAGGTATTTCTAAAAAATTTTGAAAATATGAATAAAGCCTCCAAATGGCTTAGGTGTGTTTTATATATAATGATGCAAGAATATATTCTCTCAGCTCATCATATGGATTTCTGATTTGGTTTTCCACCAATAAAGTATAAAAGAATGTAGAATCGGCCAGGCATGGTGGCTCAGCCTGTAATCCCAGCAATTTGAGAGGCCAAGGTGAGAGGATTGCCTGAGCCCAGGGGTTCGAGACCAGCCTGGGCAACTTGGTGAGACCTTGTCTCTACAGTAAATAAATTTAATAAAAGAAAAACTAACCAGCCATGGTGACATGCATCTGTAGTTTCAGCTACTTGGAAGGCTGAGATGGAAGGATCACCTGAGCCCAGCAGGTCAAGGCTGCAGTGGCCGTGAGTGTGCCATTGCACTCCAGTCTGGGCGACAAGAGTGAGACTCCAACCGCCCCCCCGCAAAAAAAAGAATATAGAATCATCTGCCCTAAAAATTCAATGCTTGCATCTGCTTTCAAAATAAGAACAAAATATTGAATGTTTTTCTTTGTGAAGCAATGTAAATTACTACAAAACAAAGACTCCACTCACTAATATTGTAACTATGTCACCTTGAGCGAGCTGCCTATTCTCTTTACCTCAGTTTAGCAACCTATAGGTGGGAATAATAATAATCATAATTACACCATAAGGGAATTTTAGGTTTAAATAAAGAAATGCACACACAGCTTTTAACTCTGTCCCTAGCCTACTGTAAGCACTCAATACACGTTCACTTTATGGTAGTTGTTGCCATTGTTGTTTGGAGTTAGTATATACAGTTGTCTTTATTCCAGGGGATCTTTTCCCAGAAGAAACCTCTTGTGATCTGTTTGAGAATGTTATTAAAACAGAAGAATCCCCAGGAGCTACAAGGGGAAAGATTAAGGCTATTTAGATTACATTTTCTAAACTCAAGAGTTGTTACCATGGGATTTAATTAGTCAAAACAGCAGAGATGTTACCATGGGATTTGATTAGTCAAAACTAAATTATCTGTGAAACAATTCTACCCACTTACACACAAGAACATGATAAGTGACATATACAGTCTTAACTCTGTTTGGAGATGGGGAGATGCCATGTCCTGAAGATATTTTTAAGCTACTCTCTGAGGTCCATTTTATCTTTTTACCAAAAAATATATATATTTAAACTCAACATACCTAAATAAAAATCACTTTCTTTTCTTATTTGATAGATGAATAATAACTTCAGAATTTATTATAGAAGTCCTTCCTTATAGAAATATTTATCTGGCCAGGCTCGGTGGCTCAGCCTGTAATCCCATGCTTTGGGAGGCCGAGGTGAGTGGATTGCCTGAGCCTGCAGGTTCAAAACCCACCTGGGTAACTTGACAAGAACTCATCTCTACAATAAATCAAAAAATTAGCCAGGTGTGGTAGCGCATGCCTGTAGGTCCAGCTACTTGGAAGGCTGAGGTGGAAGAATCATCAGAGCCAGCAGGTCAAGGTTGCGGTGGCCGGGAGCGTGCCACTGCACTCCAGTCTGGGCGACAGAGTGAGACTCCAACTCCAAAAGAAAAAGAAAGAAAGAAATATTTATCTGTTGTCTTTAAGGCAATACCATTTTCCAAGATACCTGAATTATTCCTATACAATATAGTTTAGATTATTTCAGGTAGCCTGTTCTTGATTTCTGGAAAACATTATCCTACTGGTGATCAGCAAAGTGTTTTTGACTCAGCCCCCTTCTCTGAGTTTATGAAAGAGTAATCATTTAACTTTTTGATAAGTTGAGACCACAAAAATAAACAACAAACTAAGAATTCTGAGCATTCACACATTGTACTTGCTGACATAATCTTATGGTTTAGAAATATTTTGTAGGTTGTGTATTCATTTATATTTGAATCAAAAGAAATTATTCATTCAGTAAATATTTGAGTGCTCACTCTATGACAGGCACTCCCTCAAGACTACAAAAGTGAAAGAAAATAGAAAGATTTGGTGTCTACTCCCATGGCTTATACACAGTAGTGGGAGAGACAGCTGGGAAAACCATTTAGAAAAAGATATTGCAAAGCATGGTGAGAGAAAAATAAAAGAGTAATGTAATAGCAGCTAACTGGTAAGGAAAATGGATGCTTAAGATAGGATGCTGACATTTGAGATTAGATTTAAAGGAAGAGAAAGTGTCAACCATGGGAAGAACTGAAGTAAAGCATAAGACTTACATTTCAAGCATTATGGTCATCTAGCTAGCCCGAAAAATATTCCCACTATGTAACCTAGAAATCCTGGATTAAGTTCTAATAAGCATCATTTTAAGTATATATACAAGACTGAGCTTAACAATAATTACAATAATGAAAATTTCAGAAGTAAAAAACAAAGAATTTGGAAGCAATAGTGGTAAGTTACAGCTGACTCTGTGCCTGTCCTTGAAGAATTTACCAGTCTCAGTAGCCTCTAAGTACATTTTCTAAAGGCTAGTGGAAACCAGAATATGAGACTGTGGGCCCATGAATAATGAGGGCTTAAAACTGACACTGAAGGGCTACATGCTCAGTAAAAGTAAGAGAAATGTACACCCACCAGAAAGGGGAACCTATTTCTTAAAAAGTATCTTTCCAGGTTAGAGCTCTAGGTGTAAAAAATAAAAATAAATCCCCCCTAAGAATTTATAGCCCCAACTTTCCCTAATACTTGTTTGTGGTTCTAATTTGCATTATACTTGTGGTCCAAGAAACCCCAAACTGGTAAATTTTAAAGTAAAGCCCCACAAACATCAAATAACAGAATTAGCCATACCAAAGATCTCAGACATAGAAAGTATGAGTACAGAATTTAGAATAAGCATATTTAAAATATTTGGAAATAATAAGGTATATGAAACAGGAGCAAGAAACAAACTACCATCATAATAAAATGAGATCAATTTAAAAATCAATCAAGTACTACAGAAGATTAAAAGCACAGTCCCTGCCGGGCTCAGTGGCTCAGCCTGTAATCCCACGCCTTTGGGAGGCTAAGGTGAGTGGATTGCCTGAGCCCGCGGGTTCAAGACCCGCCTGGGCAGCAAGACCTCATCTCTACAATAAATCAAAAAACCAGCCGGGCATGGTAACACACGCCTGTAATTCCGGCTACTCGGAAGGCTGAGGTGGAAGGATCGCTGGAGCCCAGCAGGTCGAGGCTGCGGTGGCTGGGAGCGGCCACTA